ATGTTTTCGTCGCGCTGTGATGATGTCACGTACGCGCTTTTGTCGAGCGCGCTTTTGTCTACCGCAGTTTTGTGGTGGAACCCTTCGGAGAAGGATTCAGGGAGCTGGTTGCTTCACTGACTCCACTTTCTACTGGAATTCTTGGTTCCTCTAAAAGCAAAGTTGCCTAAGTCCACCATTCTCTCCAGAGATCTTCCCAACTACCCTGTTTCCCTGAAAATAAGGCCTCCCTGAATAATAAGCCCAATCGGGCTTTTGGGCGCATGGGCTAAAATAAGCCCTCCCCAAAAATATTGCAACACAGCAGCAGCCATAAAGTGACCACGCTCGCCGCCTCCTCCACCTCAAAAATAGTAAGACCTCCCTGAAAATAAGACCAAGTGCTTATTTCAGGGGGGAGAAAATAAGACCCTGTCTTATTTTTGGAGAAACAGTACTAGACTTGGTTGTCTAGAATGAGATAATTGAAAACATCCCAGAAGGAGGCAGAAGCAAAACCACTGTTGTTAAAAAAAAAAAAAGCTACGTATGTGATCAAGAGCTGAGCTGAACTTGAAGAAAAAGTGCATTCTGACACAAGCAGGAAGTGTTAAATATTGTATCGATCCATGACACTAGAAGTTGCAAGGCTACTTATCAAGGCTAAAATACGAATGGCTTTGTTTTCAACTATCTGGATTAGCCTGAATTTCCTCTTCAGAACATTTACTATCCACATAATTAGTGAAATCATGGTTTAGGGCAAGAGTGAGTCTCTGAGGATGCTAATACTTTAGGACATCATTGGTGGCTGTGGCACTAGTTCTTCCAATAATTATGAGAAATCTATACCTTTTTCCCCCCCAAAGGGCTATTATTGACAAAGAATTGTGTACCTATTGCCGGAAGCCATTGGGCACTGATACTAAAATGATTCTCGAAGCTCTAAATATTTGCTGTCATGCAACTTGTTTCAAGGTAAGAATGTCGTTACACTGATTGTTCTAAAATAGGCCAATGTACACATACAAATGTATATAGATATGCATATATAGATGTTCATAGACACTCATTTTGGTATAGTGGTTAAGATGCTGGCCTAGAAATTCATACTAATCATGAAAATGTGGTCTCCTCCCATTTGGTCCAAGCTTTCTTGTGCTGTGGTGTGACATTATTCAAGGCTTCAAGAGCCATGAATTGTTATAAAGTTCTAGAACATGGTGATAAAATCCTGATTGTATTAATATTTGAGATTGTGAAAGAGATGAGTTTTTTGAGTGATTGCTGGAAGCACAATAAGCCAAGCCAGTTCGGTTTAGAAGTTAAGGCATCAGGTTAGAAACCAGAAGAGTTAGTTCTAGTCACCCAACACCAGCTGGGTGACTTTGGGCCAGTCACTCTCTTAGCCCAACCCACCTTACAGGGTTGTTGTTGGGGAAAATAAGAACAGGAAAGAGTATTATATGTATTTGCTAGCATGAGTTACTTACAAAGTAGTGAGATGGGATAAAAATCTAATAAACATAGTTGTTTTCGTGTTTGGACATATTCGTTCCAGCTCTCTATAAACTTGCTAAATCAGATTTGGAGAGCTCCAAATCTTTTCTCCAAGGAGAAAAGATAGATTTAAACTGAATGCTATTAGGCAAATCTGAAACCATGGTTCTAATCACGGAACCATACAGAAGTTCAATAACAAGGTTTGTGCTTTTTTGAAGTTTGTTCTGGTGTACCCAGTTAAAATAATCAAAGGAATAAGAGAAATCTTTACTTGAGATTTTGAACCATCACTGCTGGCTGCATTCTCACTGACCTAGATGAATGTTAAGCTTCGGTATAAAATCTCTCCTTAATTTATCATTTACCTTTAGAATGCTGGATAATTGTAAAGTTACATTGCCAAAATGTGGAAAACCTATAGTGTTAGTTCAGTAGATGCTAGCCCAATAATTAAGCACATTCATACAGAAAATGAGTATTGATGCTGAATTTCTCTGAAATATTTTAAATCATAGTAAAGTAAATAAAGGTGTAAGCCAAGAGGCAATTGTATTAAAAATGACTGGCAGATATGTTATTCTTTGTCTGGCTTTTGCCACTAATTTTTTTTTAATTCCATGTCTTTTAAGTGTGAAATCTGCAACGCAACTTTAGAAAACTTGGAGGCAGGAGATAGTATCTGGATTTACAAGAACATAGTGCACTGTTCACCATGTTATTCTAAAGTTAAAGGTAAGCTATATTCAAAGTAACTTCCAATATGAAGTATTTGGGAAATATTTGTTCTTCCTGAATTTTTGTAGAAATATATCCAATCTGCGGCTTCCTTAAACATACATGTGTCCTGGAATGTCCTGGACTGAATGGCTGATTGATTATGTGTCATCAATTCACTGTCAGCTCTTTTGAACCACATTGATATCACAAATGTGCTTTTTCAAGAGGCAACTGGTCTTTCTGGTTTTTCTTTGAAGATGTTTTGCTTCTCATCCAAGAAGCTTCTTCAGCTCTCAGCTTGAAGTTTTCTTGGAAAAAGTACAAGAGTGGTTTACTATTGCCTTCTCCAACTCCATTGTCACAAAATAATCTTCAACCTCCAGATCTTTCTATATCACTGTTGTTCAAAAGAGGTGCCTGCTTGTGTGTTGGTTGACCTTCACATCTTGAGTGATCATGCATGTATTCTTGACATCACTCCTAATATTTTTTGCTCATCCCTCCCAGGAATAGCTTCTTCCCCCCACCATATGCGGCAGTACAGCAGGATATGGGGTGGAGTGGGGGAATGTCCTCCCCCCCCAAAATGTTCATTTTTTAAAAATGTAATGCGGCTCCTAATTGAAAAAAAAAGCAATAACATGCTAACGAAATTAGGTGTAGAAATTAATATATTCAAGAAAAATAGCTGAAAAAAATTAAATGTACTAGAAAAAGTGGTGACACAAAATTTGAACATTAGGAGAAACGCCATGCAAGCATTTCAATTACCACTGATTGAGAGACAGTGAAATAAAGGATCGCATCTCATCAGTCAGAGATTCTCTCCTCCCCGAGTGAAATAAAATTAAAAAAATGTAAAAGCACAATGTGAATGAAGTAGGATTTTAGTTTAAAGTTCATATAAATTGATTTAAATGTATTTATTACAAACCCCAGATTACAAAAAACTGATTTTTTCTTTTTGCATGCATATATAAATAGCAATAGCACTTAGACTTATATACCGCTTCACAGTGCTTTTACAGTCCTCTCTAAGCGGTTTACAGAGTCAGCCTATTGCCCCCAACAATCTGGGTCCTCATTTTACCAACCTCGGAAGGATGGAAGGCTGAGTCAACCTTGACCCTGGTGAGATTGGAACTGCCAAATTGCAGTGAGCAGGCGGGCAGCAGAAGTAGCCTGTAACCACTCTACGTAACCACTGCACTCTAACCACTGCACCACCAAGGCTCTTGTAAATAAAAAAAAAATGTTTGGATTGTATCTCTACATTTTGTCAGAGTACCAGAAAATACTAAGAGTTCTTTGAAATTATTATAGATTCTGCAGGATGGGAGGGAGAAAAGAATGAGCACAAAGAACCTATTTGGGACAATGGTTCTGTCAATTCCACTAAGACTGTAGTTGATGAGGAAGAAGGAAACACACACACACACACACACACACATACACCCCCCAGCCAGCCAGATTAATCCTAGTGAGCTGACAAATCTTGGAATCATATGCTAATTTTAAAGTTATCAGCACTTACTGAAGTACTTAATGGGAATGTATCAAATATGTTTAGAAGTTTTAATTTTATCAACATGTGTTTAAGCTGAGGAACCATGAATTTTCACATTAGTGTTTCTAAGTGTTTTTTTTTCTATCCTTCACAGCCAGATGGACTTACTAATCATTAATGAACTCTGATGAAACATTCTCAGATATTCCAGCTATCTTTATTTGTATCTGAAAGTTGTATTCTTTTTAGAATAAGATATTTTGAAAATCCACATTTGGCATTTGAGCATAAAATAAGATTATGTCTAAATGAAAAATAACATATGTACTTCGAATGTTCCTAGATGCTTTCATTGTTATCAAGAGAAATGTCTACAATTGTAGCATTATATTGAATAAGGACGCAAAGTGTTGTACTGTAAATACAGCATATGAAGATAACCATCTCTGCTTAACATATTCTGTTTTGTGTTCATGCATTGAAAATTCACATGTAAGTGTTCATCGTATAGATAGAAATTTCTTCTTTAGCTGCAGCAATTCTTAAGAGTTAGAGATTCTGCAACTTTTGTTGGGACTGTTGATTTTGAGAGGCACCAAATCACCACGAAAGCTGCCAGAAAACAAGCAAGATGAAATGAAGTGGAGTCCATGCTTTTAAGAACCATTGTTTTCCTATTATTAATGATCCCTAGATGTTGACTCTGCTTCAATTCACCTCCATTCATACTGTAGCTCTGTGGAAGAGAACATTGGGGTGGGGTGTCAATCTATTTTCCAAACCAACTGAAAGCAGGACAAGAAGCAATGGATGGAAAGTAATCAAGGAGAGAATCAACCTAAAACTAAGGAGACATTTCCTGACAGAACAATTCAGTTGTCTCCAGAAGTTGTGGGTGCTCCAACGCTGGAGATTTTTAAGAACAGATTGGGCAACCAGTTATCTGATACGGTATAGGGTTTCCTGCTTGAGCAGGGAATTGGTTTAGAAGACCTCCAAAGTATCTTCCAACACTGTTATTCTGTTATTGCTTGCAAGAAAATTCATCTTCTGCCTGCTCGCTTTTCAACATTTTACTAAATTTTCTTTATAGAGATTGTCCCTGTCTAAAATTAAGTCAATATAGCAGGGTCAGCTACAAAGAAATATCAAAAGGCCAAAATTGTAGGCACAACTGTGGATCCAAGCCCTGCCTTTTTATATATTTATCTGCTATTGGTGCATGTACAGAGGTGTAAACCACCTACTTTTTTAGTTGCTTTAGTCACTCCATTGAATATGGTATTGCGAAGTATTTCTTCTACTCGTATTTTAGTTATATTATGCTAATTTGAAAAGGCCAAGTCAGGTTGTTAGCATTCTGATGCAATCATTTAAAGACAGATATGGGAAAATAGGTACATCCTCATATGATCTGCAGTCAAACACCAACTCTTATGATTGAAAAGTACCTATCCTGTGGTATCAATAATAAATATTCAAATAATTCAAAATAAACTATTAAATAATATAAGGCATATGCTATAGCGCATAATATTATGGAATCATATTAGACACAGTCCGCATAGTTTAATATAAATATGGATACCTATTTTTCTTTTCTCTTTGGAACCTACATGAACAGTATTGTAAAGAATTTACCTTGATATGGAGAAATATTTTAAAATTAAAGTGAAAAAAAATAGTGGTTGCATTCATGTGTTATGGTAATCTGAATGTTTTTGTAACATGAACAAGCCTTAAACTTAGATGATTCCTGCCATCCTTCTCTTTCAGCATGAGACTCATGTACTGGAAATAGTTTCAAAACTTGCAGTTCTATTTTTATCAACTCAATTTGTAGTTTAAGATGAAACTGATAAAACATTTATTTGAAATTGCACTAAATCATAGATAAAATATAAGGAATCCTGACACTACACAAAATAAAACTAATCATGGTTTCAAGAATATATCCAGAAACCTTACTGTATTACAAATGTATAGCACAGGGGGCCCCAACCCCAGAGCCACAACCCACTACCAGGCCTTGAACTGTTTGGAACTAGGCTATAGAAGTGATGGGTGAGTGCATGTGATCCCCCATTTCTGTGAGCAATGGGCAAGTGTGTGCATGTGTGCTTACTCACCGTTTGTGCAGAAGCATCCCCTCTTCCCACTCTTAGTCTGCAAAGCTGGAAAGGTTGGGTAACTCTATAGGACAGGAGTCTTCAACCCCTGGGCTGTGGCCACTACCGGCTCTAAGCTGTTCAAAACCGGGCCGCAAAAGCGGCACATGAGCATGCGTGTGCATCCCCCACTTGTGCAAGCAGAGCAGAGGTGGGTTTCTGCCGGTTCACCCCAAATCAGGTGAATCGGTAGAGGCGACGGTGGGAGGCTCCATCCATCCTCTCGGACACTTCCGCCAATACTCAGAAGTGTTGCACAAGCATGCACAAGCAAACCGGTAGTAAAATAAATTAAAGCCTACCACTGAAGCAGAGGGCAAGTGCCCATGTGTTTGCCCGCCACTTGCGCAAAACTATCCCCTCCCCCTGGTCGGTTCTCAGAGCTGGAAAGGTTGGGGAACTCTGCCTTAAAGGATAAAAAGTTAAAAAAATCTCTTCCAAAAGAAACTCAATTCATGATGGGAATGCACCCATGTTGCTTTCTTGGCAACAATATATATATAGACACAGCCCATTACCCAGGTCGTTACAACAAAAAAGAACAATAGGCACACAGCCAGTACCTCAGCCACACAGGATGTTATGAAACAGCTGACTAATCTGCAAACATCAACAGCATCAACTAATCAAGATGTCACAACACAACCAACCAATCTGCTTGCAGCAACAGAGCCAGCACTCTACACCCCCCCACCAGTATATAAAGAAAGGCGGCAGCTCTGATCACACTTTGC